TGTATTTGGAATGTTCCATTCAAGTTTGTATCATCTTGCCATGCTTTATTTTTCTAAATAGAATTTATCTACTGTAATGCATATCATACATCTCTTTAATTACTTATTTAATAACAAACTTCCCTAGCACAGTGGAAATGCTTGAGAAGAGGTACTTGGTCTCTTTTAAAATTTATTGTTTTTTCTTCAAAACTTAGAATATTTTTCTGAAGAATACATGCAAATGCCAATTGGTACTCAAAATCGCTAATCATCAGGCATATGCAAATCAAAACCACAAAGAACTATTACCTCATACCTGTTAAAATGGCTTTTATCAAAAAGACAAGAGATAACAAGTGTTGGTGAAAATGTGGAGTAAAAGGAACAATTGTATACTTTGGGTGGGAATGTAATTTGTTATAGGCATATGGAAAACAGTTTGATGTTCCTCAAATTTAATAGAACTACCATATGATACAGCAATCCCATTTCTGGGTATATATCTGAAGGAAAAGAAATCAGTATCTTGAAGAAATATCTGCACCGTCCTGTTCATTATAGCTTTATTCACAATACCCAACATACAGAAACAACCTAAGTGTCCACTGATGGATGAATGGGTAAGGAAGATGTGATATATGTATGTACAGCGGAATATTATTCAACCATGAGAAAAAAGAAAATCTTGATATTTACAACACTATGGTAGAACCGAGAGGACATTATGTTAAGCATAATAAGCCAGAGATAGACAAATACTTCATGATTAAACTTCTATATAAAATAAAAAAAAAAGGAAAGATCAAATTCACAGAAGCACAGAGTAGGATGGTAATTATCAGTGACTTGCAGATGGGGGTGAGGAGATGCTGGTCCATGGGTGTAAACCTGCAGTTATAATGTGAGTAATTCTGAAGGTCTACCATATAGCATGTTGCAATGAGCGAAATTATGCTAATAAGAGGATATAATTCACCAATGAAACAATTCATTTCTAATTTGATTTTTTTATCAAGGTAAAACATTATTTATACTGTTTTTGTTTCTTTTGTGTGTATTGCAAGAGAAGCCCTGTGATTTTCCAGAAATAAAACATGGAAGTTTATACAATGAAAAGAGATATAGATCATACTTTCCAGTAGCTACAGGACAATGTTTTTACTATTCCTGTGATTCCAATTTTGTGACTCCTTCACAAAGGCGGTGGGAATACATTACTTGCACACAGAAAGGTTGGGAACCAGCAGTACCATGCCGCAGTGAGTAAACCTTTTTATAATTGTATATGTGTACACATTTCAAATAGTAGAGGGGGGAAAACACATAAGTGAGTACAATTAAGCCTTATATGACAAAAATGAGGCCAAGGGATGAGTTTTATGAGCCAAAAGACCAATATAGGTTTTTCCTTTAATGAGGAGCTCTACATAAAAATCACATTACAGATAAAGATAGAAGCTTTTCAAAAACACCTATATCATTCATACAAGTTTTAATTATAAAAACTGAAGATAAATAATATTGAATATTGATTTTTTTCTTTCTACACATTTGGTAGTAGCTTTAGTTTTTCTCAAGTTTTTCGATACTTATGCATTACGGTTTTAATATTGTACAAACAGTTTTTAACTTACTATTTTGCCTGAATTTATGGGTTTCTAAAATTTTTTGTTCATCATTTTTATGATTTTTAGGACGATGTATTTTCAATTATTTGAAAAATGGAGATTATCCAAGCTCTGGACAGGCATTTCTCCAAGATGAATCTGTGAGAGTTAAATGCAATTCTGGCTACAGTCTTCAAAATGAGCAGACTCTAATGACATGTACAGAGAATGACTGGTTCCCTCCTCCAGAATGCATTCCTCTCGGTAAGTAAATGGTCTGAGATCCCTGTATATTTATGATTTTCTTTTATTCTTTTATTTTTTTAAAGACATTTATTTATTTGACAGAGAGATAGAGAGCACAGGTAGGCAGAGCAGCAGGCAGAGGGATAGGGAGAAGCAGGCTCTCCGCTGAGCAGGAAGCCAGATGCGGGGCTCGATCCCAGGACCCTGTGACCATGACCTGAGCTGAAGGCAGACGCTTAACCGACTGAGCCACCCAGGTGCCCCTATTTATGGTTTTCAAACCCACATATTTATTAACTGTGGCAAAATGTTTCTATCAACTTTCTTATTTCTGCCAATGGATATACATAGCTTTATTTTTTTCCAAGTATGTATGAGTGGATATACACATTTCTTGATACACATGCAGCAAAATACACGTCCCCTGATAGGTATTAGTCAAGAAAACAGTAAAAGAAACACAAAGAAGAAACCTGTAATGATAGAGTGATACCAGCAGTGGAGGGAAGAAGATGGCAGTGGAGGAGGAGGAACCTAGCCTCGCCTCGTCCCATGAATACACCTAGATAACCATCAAACCATCCTAAGTACCCCAGAAATCAACCTGAAGACCGGCAGAACAAATTCCACAACTAAAGGTCAAGAAGAGGCCACATTGAAGAAGTAAGATGTACACAGTTTGAGAGAAACGGATTGTGGCCACTGAGGTAGGGAGAGAGCCATGGTCACAGAGAAAGGCAAGGGACAGATTAACACACAAGGGAGCACAGGGGAAAAATGAATTACCATAGCAATTGTCTTGGAAAGTGAGAGAGGCCAAATTTCATAATTCTTATAACCAGTGGGGTTTAAAGCCTGGGGTTTTCAAGGTCAGTGTGCTTGGCCCTGGGACAGCTCAAAGGACATTGGGGCTTGGAGAAAAGGCAACCAAGCAGCCTGTCAACATACAGCTGGAAAGAGCAATCTGAAGAGCACACAGGGCACACAGTGAGGAGCATGTTGCAGAAAGGCAGTTTTCACAGAGAGAGCCCTTTGGCAACAAAGGAACTGGCAGGTGCCATTGCCCTCCCCCACCCTTCCACATAAACACAGAGCCACCTGTGGGAACCAGCACAGGGCCAGCACTCACTACTTAACTTGTTTGCACCAAGTTCCACCTCCCTGTGCTCCAGTGGAACCCCCCTTCCCGGTCATGCTTGCCTCAGTCCCTGAACAGCCAGCCTCCTCCCCCAGAAGACCAAGCCGAACCCCTGCCCCCACCACATCTCCCAACCTGGGAGTTTTGGGAAGCCTTGATTCCAGCAGTGGTGATAAGAGGTCTCATTTCACAAGCAGACCAGAGCACACCTAAAGTTAAAACTCACCACAGTCAGACCGGGGACCAAACACTGACCAGAGAGGGCCTCTGCAGATGATTGGCCTGAAGGATAAAGCAGTCAGGACACAACAGCAGTGTGCATACAGCACACATTGGGGACACTCCCTCAAGTGTCAGGCCCTGGGGGACAAGGGTCACAACACTGCAGAGCATGATAGAATCTCTTCTTCATAAGGCCATTACCCTCAAGAACAGAAGTAGCTGACTTTCTGAACAAAGAAGCATGCACAGCAATTTAGACAAAATGAGAAAACAGAAGAATTTGTCCCAAATGAAAGAACAATACAAGGCCACAGCCAGAGATGTAAGTAAAATATACACTAGCAATATGCCTGATAGATAATACTATAAAGATACTCTGTGGACTTGAGAAAAAAAGTCAAAGACATGAGTGAGACCTTTAACACAGAGATAATGAATAACACAGCAGAGATCAAGGGCTCAATCAACAAAATGAGAAACACACTTGATGGAATGAACAGCAGGTTGGAAGAAGCAGAGGAATGAATTAATGACATAGAAGACAGAGTAACAGAAGTAATCACACTGAACAAAAGAGAGAAGAAAGAATTATGAGAATAGACATAGGGAACTCAGTGACTCCCTCAAACACAACATTCCTATTATAGGAGTCCCAGAAGAAAAAGAGAGGGAAAAGGGGGCAGAAAATTTATTTGAAGAAATAATAGCAGAAAACTTCCCTAATCTGGGGGAGGAAACAGTTATCCAAATCCAGGAAGCATAGAGAACCCCCCAAAATCAACAAAAGCAGACCCAAACCGACATATTATAATTAAATTGGCAAAACATAGTGATATAGAAAAAATTTTAAAAGCAGCAAGACAAAAACAAACAAAAAGACAGTTTTCCCTTTATAAGGGAAAACCCATAAGGCTACCAGGGAATTTTCAGCAGAAATTTTCCAAGTCAGAAGAGAGTGGCATGATAAATTCAAAGTGCTGAATGGGAAAAATCTGTAGCCAAGAATATTCCATCCAGAAAGCCTACTACTCAAACAGAAGGAATGATAAAAGAGTTTCCAGGACAAACAAAAATTAATGGAGTTCATGCCCACTAAACCAGCCCTGCAAGAAATATTAAAGGGGACTCTGTGTGAAAAGAAGAGACCAGAAGTGACAGTATAAATGTAGGAAACCCAATGCAGTAAAAATGAATATTTCTGTAAAAAAAAAAATACAGTCAAGGAATTCACAAAATAAAAGGATGTAAAATATGACACCATATACCTGGGGAGGAGAGGAGTAAGAATGGGTTCACACTTAAATGACCATCAACTTATTATAGACTGCTATGTGCAGAAGATGTTAAATAAAAATCTAATGGTAACCACGAATCAAAACCACTAATAAATATGCAAAGAGTAAAGGGAAAGAAATCCAATATGTCACTAAAGAAAACCAGCAAACCATAAAAGAGAGAAATAGAAGAAAGGATGTGAGAAAATCTTCAGAAAAAAACATAAAACAGGTAATAAAGTGGCAATAAACACATATCTATCAATAATTTCTTTAATGGAAATGGACTAAAGGCTCCCATCAAAAGACATAAGTTGACAGAATGGATAAAACAAGACCCATCTGTATGTTGCCCACAAAACTCATTTTGGAACAAAAGTCACCTGCAGATTGAAAGTGAGGAGATGGAGAACATCTATCATGAAAATGGGTGTCAAAAGAAGGCTGGGGTAGCAATGCTTACATTGGACAAAATGGACGTTAAAACAAAGACTGTAACAGAAGACAAAGAAGGACAACATATAATAATAAAGAGGATAATCCAAGGGAAAGATATAACAATAGTAAGTATGCAACCAAGATGGGGGCTCCCAAATACATAAAACTGTTAATAACAAACAGAAAGGAACTAATCAATAATAATGCAATAATAGTAGGGGGCTTTAACA